CAATCTGTTTTATTTCTGACTATTTATTAATAGCACATCTCAGTTTCCTAATGATACTTTTTCTGCTATTAGAGAATCCAAACGGGCAAATGACAATTTTTGTGAAAAAGTAACCTACCACTTTTGCTTTCCTATATAAAGATTTTCTAAAGATTTTCCCCTACCAGGCTAAATACCTATTTTCTTTCTTTTCTTACCAATCTAGATGGAACAAAACAGCTCCTGAGAAAGGGGCTGTATTCCCCTATCTTCGTTTCAGAACCAGAAGGCACTTTGTGTCTGTTACAGCCTGTGATGTATGAAGCAGAAAGAAGATTGATTTTCACAAGCTACCTCATACCTGAAGTAATGAGAGTGGCAAATTACTTGTTCACTGAGCAAACATGACAGGAATGTCATAGAGGGAATTTATATATATGCAAACACATAAGGGTCACATAGGTGTTACTTTTACAAAGTGACCTTATCCACCACAGCGGCACTTCTAAATCTGCATTAGCTTAAACAGGAAAGGCTAAATAAAACTGCAAATACCTGCAATGCCTGGGATGTAAAAACTAAGACAACTAATACATAATGTAAGATACAACACAGCACAGAATATAATTTAAATAGTTGCATTATTTCTATACAAGAGACTTGGGGTCAGAAGCAATTGCTACTACTCATTTAAGGTTTCTCTGAAGTAGAAAGTAAAATATCAGTTGTAGAAAGAAAAGAAAGTATCTGAAGCTAATTTTGTATCAGAAATATTTCTGTTTCCTAAACATTTAATAAGGATTCAGCAAAGAAATAGGCATATACTTCTCATTGTGAATATGCGCATGAACAGATAGACGTTTGCAGAAGACAAGTTTCTAAACTTTGTAAATATGTAAAGCAGGAAGGAATGAATTCTAAAAAGCTTCCCTGAGGCTGATGTTTGTTAAAAGAAAAAAAAAGAAAGAAAAGGAGAAAGTGAGAAAATAACTCTGTAGACCTTTGGATATCAATGAGAATTTTATTTATATTTAAGCCCTCAAAAGGAAGACTGAAAGCTATTATTTTTGTACATTCTTTTCTTTTCCTCAGCAGTAAAGATTATGTGTGCTTGTGCTCCACTTCCAACAGGAAAGCAAGGCTTTCCACGAGCCACTGGGGACAGGGAG